GGGCGCCGAGATGTCATAGATCCTCGAGGCATCCAACGATGTTTCCTCAGCTCGCTGCTCCGCGGACACGACCCAGCGGCCATATACGATGCTGGCAGTACGTCTTCGCGCCCCTGCCTCGCTCGCTCTCTCTTCGCTAACAATATGTTTCTCTCAGTCGTCGGCACCGCTACACAGGAAGTGAAGCTGAGAGATCGGGCTGTCTTCGTGACGGCGCTATTTACCCTACCCTTCTATCCGCCTCAGATACCGACCCTCCACTCCGCCCATGCGGAGCCTGCGCAGTGCGCATGCGCCCCCGACTGTCTGGTGTTGTACGTCGCACCTTTCCTCTGGTATCTCGCTCTTACTGACGCGCTGTCGGCCAGCCGCTGCTTCCTGAAAGATAGGATGACCTTACACTGGGCAGAAGCACGGGGTGCCCTCAACACTCCTTTCCGACCATCCCCCTACCCGGGCTACACGAATGCCAGGATGCAAGAGATCGTTCAACACGGCGTCATAGTAACCGCTCGATCGACCTCAAGCTCCTGCCCGCCCCTTGCGGCTACGTGTCCCAACCGTCCCCGTTCGCCCACTGCCAACTGTCTAGCGTTGTACGTCGCATCTGTCTTCTTACATCTTGTTCTTACTGACGCGACATTGCCCAGCCGCTGCTTCCTGAAAGATAGGATGACCTTACACTGGACAGACCATCCGACCATGCCCCCACCTCACCCGGGCTACACGAATGCAAGATGCGAGAAGTCTCTCAACACGGCGTCATAGTAACCGCTCGATTGACCTCAAGCTCCTGCCCCGCCCCTCGCGGCTACGTGTCCCACCCGTTCCCGTTCGTACCCTACGTTGTATTCCAGGATCCGAGAGTCCAGTCGTTATTTTCCCAGTCGCCCCACGAGCGCGCCGATTCACGTCTAGACGCTGCCTCGACTATTACGCGTTCCAACTAGTTTCTGTCCGTGCCGCATGTTGTTTACAATGTAGCGCACCGGGACTTGGAATCAAATATGAAAATCTGTTCTCTCACCCTATCCATCGTTTGCACAATATTCGCATTGAGGCGCTTAAGCCATACTATCAGGCCATATCTCACAGCCCTTTCGCAGGAACAGATGGTCAGCTTAATATCATAACGCACATAGTATATTTGTCGTCCTCGGGACACATATCTACTCGCGTGCGACCCCCAGGACAGCGCACGGGTCCGGAAAACTTCCCAATGGGTACTATCGTTGTTCTCGTTCCGACGCTGGACTGTGCGTGTCCCTATCTGTACGCGGCGTGCTGTGAGCTCATTCCGACCCAGACGTGTCAGTACAAAGACCACACGTTACTCGTCGAAGTTTTCCACCTGCTCTGAAAGTTCAAAGAGCCTCTCGAGCAGCCGGAAGCCGTCCGAATCCCTCTGCTGTCCGCTCCACGAATATCGCGACGGCCTCCCCGACTCGAGCGACGGTCTCCGGGTGGTCCTGCCGACGCCGTAGAGGGACGGAAAGAGCGCAAGCAGCGCGCGCGCGACCCGGTCGACGTCGCAGAGCGTGAAGTGGTCGCAGTGCGCGCCGCGCGCGGGGAGCAGGCTGCGCAAGCTCGTCTGCCGTGGGCGGTCGCGGGGCTCGGCGACGCGCGCCTCTAGCGCGGTGAGCTCCGACTCGGACACGTCCGCGGCGGGGATCTCGCAGTAGAACAGGGCGGGGCAGCGCTCGGCGAGTTCGACGAGGGCAGAGAGGGAGGGCCGCGCGACCTGCAGGCCGTACGGGTCCCAGATGGGGGGCTCGGCGGGCTCGAAGGGGACGATGGAGTAGGCAATGACGATACGCTGGAGGTTTGGCCACGAGCGGGCCATCCGTGCGACGTCGGCGTCGGAAACGGACAGAAGCCTGCTCCAGCAGGAGATCTCGACGTACTCGAGGGCGTGCAGTTCGGCGAGCGGCGCGAACATGTCGAAGAGCGCGGCATAGAAGGGGTCGCCCGGGCTTGTATTGAGCGTGTCCCAATTTGTGGTGTTGCTGAGGTCGAGCCGGCGGAGCGACGACGCGTTTTGCTTCCAGGGGAACGCCTGCATTAACGGAGTGACATCGGCTCGAAATACGGGCTGATAGGTGCTGATGCGGACCTCCTGCAGCGAAGTAGAGCTGATGGAAGAGATGATCTGCCCGGCTTGGAACGTTGACGCCGTGAGATGTAGTTTGCGCAGGGCGGGGAAGGCATTGGGGGTGGTGGGAGATGGGTCTTCTAGAGCTGCCATGCTCTGAGCGTTGCTCGAGGTGAATTCATATGATATGTCGAGTTCCTCCAGTTCCTTGAGAGCGCCGAGTTGAGAGGTCATGGACCGACAAGGAAACCAAGACAGGCAGTCGAAGTACAGTGTGTGCAGCCTGGGGAAACGGATGAGTGGCCAGTTTTGGGAGAGCGATCTAACCTCTGAGTAGATGAGCATGTGCTGTACGTTGTCGCACGACCTCGATATCGCCTCCATGTCGTCTAGTATGTGTGTGCTGTAGGCATGCGGCGTCGCGTTGTACACGGATATTGTCGACAAAGCGGGGCCTACGAGGGCACAGAGAAGCTGCGATTGAACGGTGTTTCCGCGGGGTTCATTGAAGGCGATGGACTGAACGGAAGGGAGGATAGGTACCCCAGCGCTCGCATGTAGGAGGAGGGGGATGAACGGCTCGTCGAAAAACGCTGCACGGGTGTTCTTGAGGTTAATACACCGTACCCTGCGGACGCATATCTTCCACCTTTCCCACTCTGCAAAAGATGGCTCTCTTTCGAGAACCTGTTGGGGCATAAAATCGTTAGTACGGCCCCTGCCGTGGTTTACCGCACACACTTCAGCTTCATGAACTTACGTGGTTTGGAATGGGGGAGATATACAGTTGCTCCGCATCGTCAATCTCTGGGGACTCTAGGACTCCAGCGGTCTTGTTAAACCCCGGGAAGGGGTAGAAAAGAGGGTGGAGGCCGGGGTACAGGACTCGCCAAAGTACGCTCGACGCGGGTTCCGCGAAGCTTCTGCAGGTCAAGGCGGCATTTATGAGGGTCTGCCTGCGTAGATACGACTCCCTCGAAAAGCGCTGAGAAGAAATATCGCCGGGCTTCAAGAGGTCTCCATGTGAGAACAGAGCAAGGTGCTCGAAAAGCGCGAAGAGGAGATCGGGGTTTGAGAGCGCGATCGCTGTGGCTGAACTAAGATCCGTGGTCATGATGGGAGTCGTCGAGTCGTTCCTGTCGGCCGCCGCGAGCAAAACTACGCACACGCTGCGCAACTTGTGGTGACGGTACTTAGTGCATGAAGACTCGAACAGCGTGTTCAAGGGGCCGCACATAACGTGTATATGTAGTGTTCCTCCAGGGGCTGCTTATGTTCGCCCGGGTGCTGATATACGCCTGCTACACAGGCGGCGCTACCCGAAGCTTAAGCAGCGATCGCGGCCCGAGGTCCGACAGCATTGTGGCTGAGATGGCCCTCCTCGATCGCGCGTCTGCCTCTCCTCCTTCCCACCACACCTGAGCCCGACTCTCCATCCTCCTACGCTGGATGTCAGATCATGAGGACGCTCAGTCTAAGGCCGCGCAAGGAACAGAGACCCAGGGAACAGAACATGCAGGCGCACACGCAGCCATGCAGCTACTGCCCTTCGACATCATCCACACCCTCCTCGAGTTCACCCCCATCATCGACCTAGTCCACCTCTGCAGCACATGCAAGTCCCTGCGCGCACATCTCAAAAACGATTCGGTCTGGAGACGAGAGTGTCTGTCGTACGGCGTCCGCGACCTCACCTACTTCGGCGGACAGTCCGCTTACTCCGTGTTCGCCCGGCTCCTGCATCCGTACGGGCCCTTGATTGGGCTATGGGCAAACGACGCGCCATTCTATGGCAAGATACTCGAGTTCAGGCTCTTTAACGGGAACGAGACCGAGCAGGGCGGGATCATTGGCGAGGTGTGGACCTCCCCCTCTATGGCACCCGCAGACTCTCCCGCGCCTCCCACCTACGTGCGCGCCGTCAAGCTCAGCTTCGAAAGCGACACGGACACGGACGCCGACGCGAACACAGACTCCGACTCTCCGGATCCATCTCCCGGCGTGCAAGACGCCACCGGCATCGTCAACATCTTCTGCGACCAAGGCACATCCCCACCCTCGCGGCACCGGTCGTCGATAGTGCGGCTCTCCGCGACGAACCTAGGCAAGTTCCTGCAGTTCTACCGCAGGAAGGTAAACCTCCCCGACTTCCCCCCGCACATCTCCCCCTGGTACGACACGCACCGCGCCCTCCCGCACACGCCCGAGCTCCCCGAGACGACCGCGCACCACCGCGAGCTGATCAAGCTCTTCCCCGCCGCGCGCCTCCCCGCCGTCTTCGTCGCGCCGACCGCGGTGCTCAAGCCCGCCGCGATCTCCATCCGCTGCGCGCGGCCCGCCGCGCAGTGCGCCTGCTTCGCGTTGCACGCGACGGCGCTGCCGTTCGCGAATCTCGACGCGCGCACGCCGCGCTACTATCCGCTTAAAAGTGCGATCATACACGGGGCGGACCCTGCGGCGGACGCGTGGTCGGTTGCGGCACTCGATGGGATCTGGTACGGCTCGTATGGGCCGAACGGGACGGAGTGCATCTACCTCGCGCACGATGAGGACCTCGAGACGGTCGAGGCGACGAAGATCACGGGCGACGTGCATGTCCCGCGCGGTTGCGTGAGCTGGATCGTGCACATCCCGCTCGAGAGCCAGCGCGAGACGCTGCAGGGCTACTGGGCTGCCGTCCGCGCAGACGACGTTGTCCCGCGTCGTGTGCTTATGGGACACGGCACTATTGCAGGTCGTGGTTTCACGTGAGTCGTGTGTTGTATGTGTTCCGTAGTACGTACGCTCATCTCACTGCTTGCCTAGGGATATGGCGATTGTCGAGCTTATGGCGGGGGTCATATCTGAAGACCAGATCGACATTTTCTGGACAGAGATCCATGAATTTCGGACTTACAAACGCTACAAAGGTCGTCCATCAACATTGTGAAACTACGAACATTTCTACCTCTTGTGTTGTATTATACCCGCTCCCTGCGCTCTCGCTGTGTACTCTGTTGGTGCGTCACTGTCATATTTCTCTGTGACATCTTCTGACGGCGCCTGTAATAGACCATGTTGTTGTATCCCGGACCCTGTTGTAAACATTATTCAAATTTCTGGGCAATCAGTACTTCTCTCAGGGCGTTACCCTTCTGGCCCACGCCAACCCGAAATGCCTCTCGAAGAGATCGATGTTCCAAAAATTATAGCAGCACGCACCAGCCGCTATGTCCGCGCGTGCCACGCGTAGGGCAACCCACGAAGGGCGCCACGCAGCAGACGGGGACACGCTCCGGATACATCACATCGCCTCGCGCCTCGCAGCCGTACTCCTCGTCCTCAGATAAATGCAACAAGAGATGACGTCAGACCACCCAAACAATTATCCCGAACTCAGCCTCATAAAACCCTCAGAACTCCACATACTGCTTCATTCGCCACCGGGCCCAGCACCATCGGGGTCAATGCGAACACGGGGCAGCACTGCGGCTCGACCCCTCCCGAGCGCTATTCGTGGGACTCATACACGGTGCGACAGTAGTGAGCGGGCGGCACATCGCCAGGCTAGTCGTCGTTTTTCACAGGTATAGATCCAGGGACGTCCCCCGCCGTGTTACATCGACTCGACGCCGCCCCATTGCACACGTGCGACCACTCCGAAGAGCAGCCACCTCGCGTGAGCGACGGTAAGGGTACCATCTCTCGTCACGGCACAGAACGCAAGCGTCCTGCCTGGGACAACGCACAGAGTGCGCGTCCCGGATCCGAGCGATAGAGCACAGCTGCGAGGAAATGCAGGGCGAAGACGTACCGGTTCATAGAAGGGTGTCGCCCTCCGCCGCCCTCCTCATCCTGCCGACCCCCGGCTCAGAATGATTCTACGGGCAGCATCAGCGCGGGGCATAATGCTGGGCGGAGTGTTGCGGCCGATGGCGCCCAGCATGGGCTAGCCTTGTCGTCGCATCGTAACCCAGGGCGGCCATGCGGGACGGCTTGTGCGGGGGGAAAGAGTGGACAGGGGTTATCATTGCCTTTGAGTCGGCTTATATAGGTCAATCTCTCGGAGCCGAGTGAAATGGAAGACAGGAGCGATTGACGTTTCGTGCACGAAGGCGGAACCCCTGAACATCTTCAGTTGCCTATTTTGGGTGGACTCACTTCACGGTCGCGCCACGTGTCCGGAATGTTTTATTGCCCAAGCCTGCGCCATACCACCACCACTAGCTCGTCTAGACTTTCCCCTCAACTTGTAAATCACACAGTATCTGCTTCAGAGAGACCATTGAGCATGCCGGCACTTCAAGGGTTCAGCGACTCCCGCCAACTCCATCGACCACTACTATGTCTCCGATACATGCATACATTCGAAAGTATGAACAGTACGCAAAGCAATATTGGTTCTGCTAGAGAATCTAATGTCCAAAAATTGGTACAGCGACACCCGGTATGCACGTTCCTCACGCTGCGTGCACAGGGCAATCCCACGAAGGGCGCCACACGAAACGCTCGGACGTGTGCTGCCAGGGCTGTCGAAGCGCAAGTCGTCAATCGCCCCTCTTACTCGACTGGATCTCGACAATAAGCATATGCAGCTAACGCGCTGGCAAAACGCACAGCAGCCACCACTCCCCAGTACTAAACGTCGGAACCTGCAGCCTCACCTGACGAGGCTACGCGACTGCCTTAAATCCGACAGTAGCAAAGCTCCCCAGCACCCCATAGCTGGCCGTGGAAGCGACCTGGGGCAGCACGCTAGAGTTCGCTTGGCTTTTGGCAGAGCAGTCGTAACGCCCCGTCGTACACGGTGGTTCGCAGTCGCTTCGACATACTGGGGCTAGTTCTCGTCTGCGCAGACGGCCTTGCCACGGCCTCGCCCCGGTCACTTTGGACTCGGAAGCCGACCGATAAAGCGATATCTACGACGACCACGCACCTCGCCACCCTTGTAGCCTACACTGCAGCGGCCCATCGCAGTCAAACACCGCCCTCCTCACAGTTCGACGTGAATCTTCGGGTGTGCGCCTGCACGAAGCAGGACATCTGGTGTTGAAAGACGACGGTGTCCACCGGCACTGCTTCGCATTCCAAGTGTGCTGGGTGCTCGTATGCTGCCGCCTGATATGGGCCGTGCGCCGTGGCGATGGCTTGTGCGGAGGGCTGTTGCAGCACCGATGGTGATGGGACGAGCGCAAGGTCTGGGAGCGGAAAGGAGACGCCCTATGAGGCATGCCGTAAGTGTAGGTCACTCGCCCACGTTCCCGTGATACCAATATACTTCAAGTTGCAACACGTTCTCCATCCCCCACAGAATTTTCTGACTCTGACGATAGGGAGTCATATTCGATCAGCCACAGTATATGAGTCGTCTCCCCAGCCGAGACATGCTCGCATCACTGGCAGTGCACGCCGTCAGCACCCCGATTGCCACCCGCCGTAGTACGTATAGTACGCATTATATCCGGCCCTACCAATGTCATGCTCATCCTTACTCTCCACCCTCTGTCATCTCCCCTGCCGTACAGCGTGCGTGGCTCTGCTTGACGCCGTCGACTTCAACAACGAGCGACCCTCCGCGACATCATGTCCGAGACACGTCTCGGCTCAGCCGCGGCGGCTGCGCTATCCAACCCTGATCTGCTCTTCGAGCTGTTCGAGCATCTTTCCCCATTCCCACAACTGGACATCGTACAACTTGGAGAGATCCCCTCCGAACGCTTCAAACACTACTCATGGGAGGTATATCGACGCGGGAAGACCCTCGCAAATGCCGCCTTGACTTGCAAAGACTTCACGGAGCCCGCGTCTAGTGTCCTTTGGCGAGTTCTATACCCCGGCCTTCACCCTCTCTTCTATCCTTTCCCGGGATGTCATAAGACTGCGGGGCTCCTAAAGGCTCGCGAAGTTGACGAGTTTTTAAAACTCTCCCCCATCTCAAACCACGTAGGTCTTCAAGGACAACACAGCTATTAATGGGAGGCTGACGTTTATACCTCTAAATAGGTCCTTGAAAGAGAGCCAACTCCTGCGGAGTGGGAGAGGTGGAAAATTTGCGTTCGCAGGGTACGGTGTATAAACCTCAGGAACACCCGTGCAGCGTTTTTCGAAGAGCCGTACATCCCTCTTCTCCTGCATGCGAACGCGGGGGTGCCTATCCTCCCCACTCTCCGGTCCATCATATTCAACGAACCGCGCGGAAATCGCGTTCAAACACGGCTTCTCCATGCTCTTATAAGCCCTACCCTGTCGACTATCTCGGTGTACAATGGGATACTACGACGACCGTTCAGCGCGCACATATTGGACGACTTGAAGGCCATATCGGAATCGTGCGGCGGCATACAGCGCTTGAGCATCCGCGCAGATGCTAGATCGTTCACCCACAATTTGCCCCTGAGCCTCTTCCCCAGATTGCGTATGCTGCATCTTGCGCTCTCGTGGTCTCGTTGTCGATCCATGATCTACGAAGCAGGCGCCCTCAAGAGACTGGAATGCCTATTCCTTTCGTGCGAGACAAGCGCAAAGGAACGCCGAAGTATGTCGGGCATAGGCGGCCAGGTGTATACCGCCAGTGCCTTCCCCGCCCTGCGCACGCTAGAACTCCGAGCGCCACCCCCTCAGGCTGCCGAGATCCTCTCTTCCATCAGCTCGACCTCGCTGCAGGATGTCAACATTAGCAGTAGCCCATCCACCTTCCGGACCGAGGTCCCTGCACTTCTCAATACGTTCCCTTGGAAGCAAAACGCGTCCTCGCTACGCCGGCTCGTCCTTAACCATACCCCGGAGTGGGGAACCATTGGAGTGAACGGCGAGCTCTTCTATGCCGCGTTCTTCAACATCTTCGCGCCCCTCGCTGACCTGCACGCCCTGGAGCACCTGGAGATCGCCTGCTGGAGCAGGGTCCTGTCCATTTCCGACGCCGACGTCGCCCAAATGAGCCGCGCGTGGCCGCACCTCCAACATATCGCTATTGAATATACTGTGGTACCCCCCATACCCACCGAGCCCCCGATTCAGTGGGACCCACACGGCCAAACGGTCGCGCGCCCCTCCCTGCCCGCGCTCGTAAACCTCGCCGAGCGCTGCCCTGCCCTCTTCTACTGCAACATTCTCGCCGCAAGCATGTCCGAGGAGGAGCTCGTCACACTCGAGGCGTATGCCGCCGCCGCGGAGGCGGACAACCGCCCACGGCAGACGAACTTGCGGAACCTCATCCTTGCGTGCGGGGGGCACTGCGACCACTTCGCGCTCCCCGATGCCGACCGGGTCGCGCGTGCGCTGCTCGTGCTCTTCCCGTCGCTCTGTGGCGTGGACCGGGGAGGCATGGCTCGGTGGAAAGTCGACTTGCTAAAGTGGTCCATCTCGGGTACGCCAGTGTCGGAGGAACATCGATGCCAGACGGACGTATTTCGGCTGCTTTTTAGGATTTTTGAGCTGTCTGGACAGGAAATGGATGGCCGTACGTAGGTCTTCAGTACTTGTCACGTTGGTGGCAAGATTTGCGCTAGATCGAACATCATGCAGAAAGATAGACGAGAGTACAGATTTTCATATTTGATTCCAAGTCCCGGTGCGCTACATTGTAAACAACATGCGGCACGGACAGAAACTAGTTGGAACGCGTAACAGTCGAGGCAGCGTCTAGACGTGAATCGGCGCGCTCGTGGGGCGACTGGGAAAATAGCGACTGGACTCTCGGATCCTGGAATACAACGTAGGGTACGAACGGGAACGGGTGGGACACGTAGCCGCGAGGGGCGGGGCAGGAGCTTGAGGTCAATCGAGCGGTTACTATGACGCCGTGTTGAGAGACTTCTCGCATCTTGCATTCGTGTAGCCCGGGTGAGGTGGGGGCATGGTCGGATGGTCTGTCCAGTGTAAGGTCATCCTATCTTTCAGGAAGCAGCGGCTGGGCAATGTCGCGTCAGTAAGAACAAGATGTAAGAAGACAGATGCGACGTACAACGCTAGACAGTTGGCAGTGGGCGGACGGGGACGGTTGGGACACGTAGCCGCGAGGGGCGGGCAGGAGCTTGAGGTCGATCGAGCGGTTACTATGACGCCGAGTTGAACGATCTCTTGCATCCTGGCATTCGTGTAGCCCGGGTAAAGGGAAGGTCGGGAGGGAGTGTTGAGGGCACCCCGTGCTGCTGCCCAGTGTAAGGTCATCCTATCTTTCAGGAAGCAGCGGCTGGCCGATAGCGCGTCAGTGAGAGCGAAATAGCAGAGAAAAAATGCGACGTACAACACCAGACAGTCGGGGGCGCATGCGCACTGCGCAGGCTCCGCATGGGCGGAGTGGAGGGTCGGTATCTGAGGCGGATAGAAGGGTAGGGTAAATAGCGCCGTCACGAAGACAGCCCGATCTCTCAGCTTCACTTCCTGTGTAGCGGTGCCGACGACTGAGAGAAACATATTGTTAGCGAAGAGAGAGCGAGCGAGGCAGGGGCGCGAAGACGTACTGCCAGCATCGTATATGGCCGCTGGGTCGTGTCCGCGGAGCAGCGAGCTGAGGAAACATCGTTGGATGCCCCGAGGATCTATGACATCTCGGCGCCCACCCAGCACCATGCTATACGAGCTACGTGGTGGGCGGCGCCCCA